CCTGGAATGCAAAATGGAAAGCATTACTTACAACATTACTTAGAAAGCATTACTAACAACAAAGCTAGCGGAAGTGATGGTATCCCAGCCGAGCTATTCAAAGTCTTAAAAGATGATGCTGTTAAAGGGCTGCACTCAATATGCCAGTAAATTTGGAAAACACAACAGTGGCCACAGGATTGGAATAGGTCAGTTTACATTCCAATACCAAAGGGCAATGCCAAGGAATGTTCAGACTATCACACAATTGCACTCATTTCACACGCTAGCAAGGTCATGCTCAAGATCCTACAAGCTAGGGTTCAGCATTGGTTTAGCATAAGAAAAGGAGTACAACAAGGATGTATATTGTCACCCTGCTTATTTAATTTATATGCAGAGTGCATCATGCAAAATGCCAGCCTCGATGAATCACAAGCCGGAACTAAGATTGCTGGGGAAAAGATCAACAACCTCAGATATGCAGACGATACCACTCTGATGACAGAAGGTGAAGAGGACCTTAAGAGCCTCTTGCTCAGGGTAAACGAGGAGAGCGCAAAAGTTGGCTTGACACTCAACATCAAAAAACCTAAGATCACGGCATCCGGCCCCATCACTCCTTGGGAAATAGAAGGGGAAGTCCTGGAAGCAGTGACAGAATTCACATTCCTGGGATCCAAGATCACTGCAGATGGTGACTGCAGCCATGAAATTAAAAGACGCCTATTCCTTGGGAGGAAAGCGATGGCAAACCTAGACAGCATAATAAAAAGTAGAGACATCACCCTACCAACAAAAGTCTGTATGGTCAAAGCAATGGTATTCCCAGTAGTAATGTATGGCTGCGAGAGTTGGACCATAAGGAAGGCATAGCACTGAAAAATAGATGCTTTCGAATTATGGTGCTGGAGAAGACTCTTGAAAGTCCCTTGGGCTGGTCAATCCTAAAAGAAATGAACCCTGACTGTTCCCTGGAAGACCAGATACTGAAGCTGAAGCTCAAATATTTTGGCCACCAAATGAGAAGGGAGCACTCACTGGGAAAGACCCTGATGCTTGGAAAGATTGAAGGTCAAAGAAGAAGAGGACAGCAAAGAATGACAGCAATGAACATGAAATCAAGCAAACTCTGGAGGACAGCGGGAGACAGGAGGGCCTGGCATGATGTGGTCCATAGGATTGCAAAGAGTCGGACTCGACTGTGCAACTGAACAACAACAACACCATTATGGTGAAGATATTGGTTGTATCTGGAGGTCCCCTTCTGCTAAAAGAAGGATCTTCTATTGGAGGAAGGCTTCTTCTATTGGAGAAGGGAATCCTTCCTCTAATGATAATCTTGTCAAATAGAAGATTCTTTACTTAGCCAAAAGGAATAATTAGATCAACCCATTGCGCTGATGTTGGTTTTGGCCTTACATGAGCATGGGGACCTGCAAGGATCTCATAGGGGACAGGAAATTCACACACACACACCACTACCCTGCTATCACCTGCCATTGCCATGTCGTTTTTGTACTCGCAGTCCTCACGCTGCGACATTCTGTCCACCCCCTGTCAATCCTTATTTTTGTTTAAATGTATGGTTATAATGCTGATCATGATGTCACAATATCTGTAAGCAATTTTTTTCTTTGTCTTGCATAAGTGCTAACTTAGTTGTTCGCTTTTGTGGGGGTTATCTTAAAACTTTTACAGGGACTTTTCAAATATTTCTGCAAACGGAAGTTTCCCTCAATTTGTAAAACCCCTCCCTATCATATGGATTTTTTAATCTGCCCTCTGGGGCCATTTATATAATTAGATAAACAAGTAGCCAACAGAATTGCCTTTTAATTTTCAAGCTACTTCAACTATTTTCTGTTTAAATTCTGACTATTGTAAGCTCCTTTGTGGGTTATTACTGAATGGTATAAAATATGAACACCTTCCTTTCTAGATATTTATTCAGACTAGTTCTATGCTGCCTTGTCAGAGACCTTCTCAAGGCAGCTTACAATTAAAAACCACAGTATAAAACATAAATAGACGTAAAGAGCATAAATTAGACATAAATAGCATTAAAATCCCTGGGTAAAAATATGTGTTGCCTAAAACAAAGTAAAGTAGATGCCAGGTGAGCCTCAAGGGAAGATGAATTCCAAAGGCCAAGGTGCCACCACAGTCACCATCTGCCTCACCTCTGAAGGGCAGGGGCATGGAGAGCAGAGCTTGAGAGGCAAGTCTTGATGGATGGCCTAGGTAGTATGGGTGGAGATGGTCTTTCAAGTACACTGGCCTAAAGCCATGGAGGGCTGGAAACAGATGGGTAGTCAGTGCACTTCTTTCAGCAAAGGTGTAATATGTTCTCAGTAACCAACCCATGACAGAACCCTGGCTGCCACACTTTGGATCAATTGAAGTTTCCAAACCATAGAGCGCATTAAAGTACTCTAACTTAGTTGTGATCAGAGCAGGGATTGCTGTGGCCAGATCATGCTTTTTGGAGGAGACCTCAGCCTGCAACCATAGACCAGGACCTAGTACAAGGGTGTCAATCATGCAGCCCGTGGGTCTGACGCAATATGAAATTCTGTTAACTTTTTTGGTGATACCATGATAAATGAACCCCGTGGTTCTGTCTGGTCTCATCCTATGAATCAGTATGACTGTTAATTGTATTAACTATATCAAGTAATTTAAGGGAACTTATCTTAAAGTAATCATGACTGGATTTGTCCTTTGGGCAACAGCTGGATTCTAGGGAGCTTTCTGTGTGTACCTCTGCCCTGTAAAGATCTTCAGATCAAATTAGATATCAAGAGTAAGGAAATATTTTAAAATATGTTTATACCTTGCATATTATTGTCATGGACAGAAGGAAATATTTCTAACAAATGGAAGCAGATCACTCCTTACATGTAGACAGATTTATTGCTGCATAATTGTGTTCAAAAGTGTTATCATGTACAGTGAACCAGTGCATTATGAATAGGAATATAAAGTGCAATGTGAGTGTTACATTATACCTTCTCATGTCATGGCTCCTTATTTGTCTGGGTCGGACCTTGCAACATTGATCCATGCAATGGTCACCTTCAGGTCGGACTACTGCAATTCACTCTATATAGGACTACCCTTGAAAATGCTTCAGAGGCTGTAGGTAGTCCAGAATGCAGCTGCCAGGTTGCTGACCGGAACATCATGGTCAGCTCTGATTATTCCAGTTCTGTGGCAGCTGCACTAGCTACCAATTAAGTCTCCAGATCCAATTCAAGGCATTGGTGTTAACCTTCAAAGCCCTTAACGATCTGGGACCCTCATACCCATGGGACTGCCTCTTTCGCTACAACCCCCCACAGACACTCCCTTTGGTTATCATCTAGGGACCTCTTGCAAGTGCCTTGCCCCAGGATGGCTCGGTTAGCTGTCACCAGGGGAAGGGCCATCTCAGTTCTGTCCCCTACCCAGTGGAATGCACTCTCAGATGACACCTGAGCCCTGCAGACTTGTTAAGTTTCCACAGGGCATGCAGGGCCAAATTGTTTCGGTTGGCATTTGGAGGGTAATCCACATTTGGGTTGTTTTTATTAGTGGTATGTTGCTATCCACATATTTTAATAGTTTAATATTTTAATGTTAATATTTTCTATTCTTTGTGTGTTGTTTTTACCTTATGATATGGTTTTGATATTGTCAGTCACTGCAAGACTTTCTGGATGAGCAGCAACTAAAAAATCTAATAAATAAATGAGTACCTGACAGGCTATCAGGGCCTGGAGCTTTACTAGATTTAATACTTGTAATGGGGTGGAGCCTTGGGAGGGTGAACTTTGAGGAGGGAAGTGACCTCAGCATGGTATAATGCCATACAGTCCACTCTCCAAGGCTGCCATTTTCTGTACCACACTGGCTTTCATAGGGTGGTTGCTGTTCAACAGTAGCAAGCAGCCAGGCCTAGTTTGAGTCATGGAACTTGGGTGGTATCAAGTCACCCAGAGGCTGCTTCCAGACCTAGGGTTGCCAGTCAGCAGGTGGGATCTGGAGATCTCCTGGAATTACAACTGAACTCCAGATGAGAGATCTGTCCTCCTGGAGAAAATAACTGCTTTGGAGGGTGGATTGTATGGCATTATATTCAGCTGAGGCCTCTCCCCTCCCAGACCCTGCCCTCTTCAGACTCCTCCACAAAATCTCCAAGAATTTCCCTAGTCGGGCGGCATCAAAGTAGGCCTGGAAGAGGGCCCTCTTCCCCTCCCCTGGCCTTTTACTGACAGAACCAAGGCTTGAATGCTGCAGTTGGCTACCAACAGCCACTGAGGAAATCTGTTTTTGAAAGCTACAAGCTATCCTTTTATTATTTTTTGGTTTCTAAACTCCCTGGGGTTTTCCCAGATTTTTCTGCAAACCTTGGGGCCGTTCTCAGGTTTGTAGAAAGATCTGTCTTGCCAGTTCACAGTTCCAGTCACCAGATTTAAGTACGCAAAGATTTGGCTGACTTTGCTATTAGAATATAAAGATAGATTGGTATAGATGTTCCAGCTAGCAAGTAGAAGCAGGAGTGATGGTATTTGGAGGTATTTGGGCAAGTAATATGTAAAAAAAAAAGGAATGGCTGAGATTGGAAGGCAAGGTATTCTACCACTGCTGCTACGGGTATCTGTTAGGCCAAAAGTTTGGCCCTCTGTTTTGAACTTGACTCTTCTGACTTGGAAGTAATGGTACTACAAGGAGGGCAGTGTTAAATTGTTTAATGTTCTTTCCCTCACCTTCCACTATTCAGGTGGGTAGCCATGTTGGACTGAAGGAGCAGAACAAAGTTCAAGTGGGCACCTTTAAGACCGACAAAGTTTTATTCAAGGCATAAGCCTTCATGTGCACAAAACGCAATGCATGAAAGCTTATACCTCCAATAAAACTTTGTTGGTCTTAAAGGTGCCACTAGACTCGAACTTTGTTCTGCTTCCAGTATTCAGTGAGCCTCATTGTCACGGTGTAGCAGAGATTCTTGTGCTAATCAGATTGTTTCTCTTTTGCAGTTATGGCAGCCATTCGGAAAAAACTGGTTATAGTGGGTGATGGTGCCTGTGGCAAGACTTGTCTTCTCATTGTATTTAGTAAAGACCAGTTTCCTGAAGTTTATGTCCCCACAGTATTTGAAAACTATGTAGCAGATATTGAAGTTGATTCGAAGCAGGTGAGTGAACTTGTCATCACAACACTTTTTTCTATTGTATGTGAAAGTTAGCATGTGAAAATAAAAGATTGCCTGTTTTTAATTTCTGAAGTTCGATTGTATTTCTTATCCCAGAAGCTTTAGTTATCCAAGTCTGCAGTCCTGAATATACAAAGAAAATGTTTCCCCTGAAACCAGTAGAACTGACATGAGGAAATGTTACAAACTGGATGATTACATTTGATCTTTAAGCTTATATTGTTGCTTACCCAGAGAGAGCCACAAAGAGAGTTCTGCTTATGGAATAGGAGTTTCTTGCTTCTCCTGCCCAGTTAAAGCCTCCTTTGCCTCCTAAAAAGCAGATTCTGAGGGTCAGGGGGGATCTTAGGAAACAGCATGTCATTGTGAATGGTTGCACGTAAGTGCGTGTGTAAACAGTAGTACCTTCTACTTGTGGAAGTGGGGTTTTGATTCCAGCTCTGTATAAACAGCACTCTCACTAAATTGAAGCTCTGGAAAACTGAATGTTAGCACTGTCTACCCTTATCATTTGGATGAAATCATATAAAATTAAAGAGAACAAGGTACTTATTCTGTTGTGAGGGTCTAGATTGTATTTTGCTAAAGTCAGTGCTAAGATTTTTTAACAGCGTAGTATGAGTAATCATCAGAGAGTGCTTCTGCATTTTGTTGCTTCACATTGGTAGATATGTGCTTGTAAACTATATTTGGGAGTAGAATAACGTTCTAAAAGTCTTTTGCCAGGTTCAGGAGATAGAAATTGTTAGATTATTTCATAACTGAATTTATTCCATCTGTTTCTGACAGAAGTAGCTTAGAGCTTTCCTTTGCCCTTTCAGAACACACTTGCCAATCAGACTTCTACATGAACGCTGCTTTTTAACCAAGTTCTGCCTTCTGCTACCTGAAGTCTATAGAAGTAATAAAACAAAGTTTGAATTTATTTCGCTTTTGATTGACAGATTAGTGTATTATAGAATCATCTAAAAGGGATAGGAGTTCCTGTTCAGCATGGGGTTAGAAACAGGTGACCCCTATCCAGACAGTACCCAGCATCAACTGATCTTTTAGACAGCATTTCCATTGTGAGTCGCCCTGAGCCCGTTCGCGGGGAGGGATATAAATCCAATAAATAAATAAATAAATAAATAGAATAGATGTACTGTGAACAACCTAGCTTAAAATGTTAGCAGCAGGGAGCAGTTACTTCATCAGCATAGCTTGGGAAACTTTCAGAAGCTGCATCTTGTATCTCTGTAGTTCAGTGAATTTTTAATACTAAATAAGTATCTTAAAGCTACAGGTGACCATTTTCCCCAATATAAACCAGTATGTGGAACTGATGCAGAAATGGAGAAATTAATAGTCTGGAAAGAGCCCTAGACTCTCTCTCTCCTCTTGCCCATCTGAGTGTTCCTCTCTCTAATTGTGTCCAGTATTTGTGTCGAGTTTGCTGTAGTGGCAATTTAGCAACATCTATACTAATTTTTAAGTCAAGAGTTGTTTGTATGCAGGTAAAGATATAAATACAAAATATGAATTTTTGAATATTTTAATGTATTTGCTGATTTCCTTTCCTAAATTTATTCCTCCTGTCAGTGAAGTACTAAACAAATAGGTTCTAAGTTTTTTTCAGGAGACAAAAAAAAAATGAGTTCTTTAAACCCTTGAAAGAAGATATTCTAAGGGCTTGCTTCCTCTACTGAAAAGGCCCTGCTCCATCCCACAGCTGTTCTTGCCATTGTAAAAGATGGCATAACAAAGCAGGACTTTTTCTAAAATAATTTATAAGTGAGGAAGACTTATGGGGAGAAGAACACATTTCAGACCAAGATCTTTCAGAACATCTTGACCAAATTTGTGTGTGCTCAGCACAGCTTTATTCAGATGTCTTATTGCCTTTGCCCTTCCTGCAGGTGGAGTTGGCCTTATGGGATACAGCAGGACAAGAAGACTATGATCGACTTAGGCCTCTTTCATACCCAGACACTGATGTTATACTTATGTGTTTTTCAATTGATAGCCCCGATAGTTTAGGTAAGTAGAACTAACTTAAATCTTTATTGTGTTCCCTGTTGTGTTGTCCACCAAACCTTACAAGAAACTACAACTTCACAAGACATGCTTTTGCAGTGGAAATACTAGTTCCCTGTTGGGACAGAACACAGTGCTTATTTAAAAAATAGGAATTTTCATTTTTGAAGTGCACTGCCTCTAGCAAACGGTGTGTACCCTACTGGGAATATCCACATAGCCATACTAAACCCTCTGTCATGGGGCCAGCCTGTTCCTGAACATAAGAGACGCCAATGTTGGATCAGGCCAAAGGCCCATCCAGTCCAACACTCTGTGTCACACAGTGGCCCGAAATACCAGGTGCCATCAGGAGGTCCACCAGTGGGGCCAGGACATTAGAAGCCCTCCCACTGTTGACCCCCTCCAAGCACCAAGAAGACAGAGCATCACTTGCCCCCGAGTCCCTATCTATACCTTGTGGCTAATAGCCACTGATGGACCTTTGCTCCATATGCTTATCTAATTCCCTTTTGAAGCCGTCCATGCTTGTAACCGCCACCACTTCCTGTGGCAGTAAATTCCATGTGTTAATCCCTCTTTGGGTGAAGAAGTACTTCCTTTTATCCATTCTAATGATGATGATTATGAAGATAATAAGGTCTACACTGTGGGAGACAATTCAGCATTTTTAGACCTGGAACTAAGAATAATTGTGCATTTGTAAGCACGTAGAATATGTGTTTTATCCTGCTCTTAAAGGTGTCATTATGTGATGGTGAGGGATATGGAGAAAGGGGAAATTGTTCCTCTGCTCAAAACCAGATAACTTTTCTTGGTATTAACTGTTGGTATGTTAATTTTCAGATGCAAATTTCTAGATCCTGTTCCAGAATATGTTATTATGGGTATTTGAAAAGTGTTTGTTGACCATTTGACCATGATTTGATTTTATTGTACTTCAGAGAACATTCCAGAGAAGTGGACTCCAGAGGTAAAGCATTTTTGCCCCAACGTACCCATCATCCTGGTAGGCAATAAGAAGGATTTGAGAAATGATGAACACACAAGACGGGAACTGGCCAAAATGAAGCAGGCAAGTCTTATTACTTCATGTCCATTGAATAATCTTCATTCTTCTGATAAGAAAATACCTATGCAGGATTTGTATAAGAACCATGAAAGGTAAAATTGCACAGTACTTTAGCATCTGCCTTATTAAGCGTGTGGATTTTTGTTTGCCACACTCATGATGGCCAGATCATGAATGGGTGCTTCTTAATTCATTTGTCTCTGACAGCCATTTATTTCTGGAGCATTCCTTGCTGACCTTTATTAGAAACTAAATTTATTGTCATATAAGGATTTAGCAGCTTTTAGGAGGGAGTCTTCTGATGGAACTTGCTCACCAAGAACATTAACATAGTTCTCACTCATTCATTCATAGAACAATGGTCCATTTAATGTATCCACATTTGTATCTGCAAGACTTCAGATATTAATTGCTGAGAAATTGACATATTTTTAAAATGAGAAATGGACGTGTCTTTACAGTAGTAAACAGATTCTTTCAGGTTTGTGCTGTATGTAGAACTGTCTTTCAGTTCTTTTAATAGATGGCACATTCTACTAGTAGTTCAATATCTGCACTAGTTCTTCTTTCCATGCTGGTTATGATCTTTTAGGCCCAGCCTTCCTGAGAGGTTTCAAAACCACCTCGAGTGCTCTTTGTCCGTCTACACTGTACATGTGGCATAATGACACGTAATGACCATGTGTACAGAGACTTGCTTAGAGCTGCACTGTTTTAGGATTCTTCAGAATCTCGATTCCACAGAAGACTGTATTTGGAATTAAAACCTGAAATTCTGTCGGTTTGGAATCATGGGGAGTAGAATCGTTTATGGTAGAATTTTAACCTTTGTTAGCTGTATCTTAACTCTGAGCTTTATGGGTGGAATAACTACAAATAGGATAAAGAGACTTCTAACTCAGTGGTCTTGCTCGAGTCAGAAAGACTGGAGGGCTAGTAATGTTTCCCAGGATACAGAGCTTGTAATTCATGGTGAGTTTATAGTAGCTCTTGACTGCTCATCTTCACAAACTGCAGTATGCTAGGAAAAAGAATAAATGTCTTTCCATTAAAATGATTGCTTTGCTCTAGAAATTCAAAGCATTCCAACAATTGCAGCAGTTTTGTAATATTTTAAAATGCAAAAATACAAAGATTAAAATATTCTAACATAATTACCTTTTCCTATATATTTCCAGATTCTTTTAAAGCAAGGTGTGTGCAGATGCTTGTCTAGTCTAAGTAGACAGTGTTTCAAAATGTTCTACAATAGTGTGTAAACGTGTGACACTGAAAGTTTTTGAAGTCTGTACTCAAGATCACATCCTGTCTGCTGAGATTATTGCTTATGAATATATTCTGTTCTATACTATATACCCTTCTCTGGCTATTATTGTGAACTTTTAAAGTTAGAAATAGCATTTTGCCCTTCCCAAACTATCCTTCAGTGCTGTGTTTTCAAATACATTGCTGTAACCTAACTAATGAAACAGTGGCTTAAAACATCAGGGTAGTAAAAGCCTGTGCAGTGAAATTCTTGTAATCTGTGTTGAAACATATAGTTGAATTTTATCCATAATACAGGACTTTGAAGAGAGAATCTCTCTGCAGCTGCATCTTGTCAGGAAATAGGTAGAGAATGCAAAAGAACGTTGGGCTGACTGCCTTAATTAGAAACAGGAAATAGATTTAACAGCTTTCTGTTATTTTGACGACTCACTTAGAACAATGACACTGACAAGGCGGCAATGCAAATGTTTTTAAGGGCTGACTGTTTATCCCTACTCTGTTTCTCATGCCCTTCCTTCCTCATCTTCCCTTGCCACCACACCCGATCTGTCATAGCATGTTTCCTCATTGTGGAAAACTTGATGCTGTTTGGCTCCTGCTGCCCCCACCTCACAATCTTAGAACCCTTGGGGATTTTTTCCCCTTTGGTGAGAGAAGGCTGATTTCTTCCCCTTCTCCCCAGTAATGGAAAACTGGGTAAGCAGTGTACTGTGGTATAGCAATCGCCACTCTTACCTGGCTTAAAAGTAACTTCATATGTTAACTACAGTGGTACAGCTGCTGCCAAAGAAGAGGCTTCCCTTGTGGATTGGTATTATCAAGTAGAGCTTCTGTAATCAGCCCCACATCATTCTAGGGCTTGCTGTGGAAAGGAGTAGTTGATGAATAGTGTGCTTAAATGGAATTACAGCATCATAAAACGTTGAAGTTTTGGAATTGTAATAGTCATAGGGAATAGTAAACCAATTCCATTTGGCCTCCAGTCTGGATTCTCTGACTACATTCACATATTGTTGAAAAGGCAAGCATGATATTTCCTAAGTGGAAATAGGATTTTCTAGCTGCTTCAGTCGCCTCTGAAGTTAACTATCCATATGTACCTGGAAAATATAGATCATGGCTTTACAGTCTTCCAGGTGGATCGTACAGACTGGGCAGACATTACTGACTATACATGGAAACCTGCAGGGCTTGCTTATCCTGAGGAAGCTTGGTAGGCAACATGTTCATTTATCTAACACATTATAATGTGGAGAAGTTAGACTTTTCCCACTACATGTGACTGAGTTTAACTTCCATCTTTGGACTTACAGAATCCATTAAAATAGTTAATGTAAATCACCAACGTTAACACTTCTGTAGCAACTGCACAGTAGCATCAGCAGTAAACTCCATAAGTGTGGCAGCAACTAGCTCCCCCTGTTGTTCCAATGTTTTACGTTATTCTTCCACAAAAAAGGATGTTATTATTTTCTCTTCAATGTGATAATGGGAAAGACAATGTTGGTTTAAGATTCAAACCGTTGATGGCAGTTGTTGTTCTCACACTCCTATCAAGCCTACTGGCTGTGCACTATTGTTAAGTGTTCACCCTTCAATTATAGGAGGGGACCAGTGTTCCCTCTAAGCTGTGGGGTCTTGTGAGCAAAAATTCTACTTTGTGAGCTACTGGCATTAAAGTTGTGAGCAAGCAATATGGCTACTGCATAAATTAGCTTGCTCTGGAGCCATCCTTCCTGAGCGGAGACAAAAAAATGTGTGAGTCGGAGGCTGAAAATCTGTGAGCTAGCTCACACTAACTCAGCTTAGAGGGAACACTGGAGGGGACTCCCTTGGCTGGGACCATTCCATTCAAATGTGTAGCAGAATAAGCAGTTTGTATCTGAACAGAGAAGATATAAAAAGAAATTAACCTGTTTGATTTCCTGTTCAGCTGTGTTGATTAGTTATTCTTGTGTTTGTACAGGAACCAGTCAAACCTGAAGAGGGCAGGGATATGGCAAACCGCATTGGTGCTTTTGGATACATGGAGTGCAGTGCAAAGACCAAAGACGGTGTGAGGGAAGTTTTTGAAATGGCCACTAGAGCTGCTTTACAAGCCCGGCGTGGCAAGAAAAAATCTGGGTGCCTTCTCTTGTAAAGCACAGCCAGGGGAAGACAGCTGAAGCAGCGCCCTACACTCAATACATTTTTGAAGTGCTGTTTATTAATCTTAGTGTATTATTACCAGCCTTTTTTCATTTATCTATAATTTACTTAAGAGATTTAAAAATCGAGTCTTGCTACCAGTATTTAGAAGCCAACCATGATTTTTTTATAATGGTCTGCATCAAGTACATCTGTGCACACAAGGGTTAACTTCAACATTCCTTTAACAAATCTTTCTCTGCATTTGCAGGATATGCCAGGCGCTAATTCAAGACAATTCTCTAACTTCTTGCTTTTTTAGAAATGGGAAAAAAGCTGGTAACACTGAGAATTGGGCTGTAACTGCTCCATAACTAACATGTTCTAGCCTATTCAGGTACAACAGACATGGCTGCAGATGAGGCCCTGAGTAACTTCAGTGTTTTCACATAGAGGGAAGTTTGATTTTCTTTCTGCCCCCTGCTCCAAGGCTCTGACGTATAAAATGATAGTTGAAAAATGTGATCACTCTGAAATGACCAAAGTCCCATCCAGCTATGGAAAGTGACAGTTCTGTGGTTCCATGTTAGTTACCTTATAGTTACTGTGTAATTAGTGCCACTTAAATGTATGTTACCAAAAATAAATCTATATACCCCAGCCTAGATGTAGTATTTTTTGTATAATTGGATTTCCTAATACTGTTGCTTGTAACTTCTGCGTAAGGTGTTCTGGGTTTTTTAAGAGTGTATTTACAAATAAAATCAAATGGAGAGTGATGCCCCCTCTCCTCCCATTTGTAATTGTCCAACGCATTTGTATTACTTAACCATGCCCAGAAAGCTCATCTTATACCTCTTCCAGGAGCAAGGGAAAAGCAGCCGTTACCTTGACTGTAAGGGGATGTCTCAGAAGCTTTAAGTTAACCCCTGCTGGATCCAGCTCCAGTCTGAAAATGCAAGCTCTTGCTTACCATCTGCTGGCCAAATTCCCATCCTGTGAACTTCTTGCTGTTCTGCAGCAAACTAAATTCTCTTCTGTATTTCCTGTTTCCAACAACTAATAGAATAAAGGCAGTTTTCTAAGTTCCCTGTATTCTGGTGTTTGTGTTCCTCACTGTGCAGGATTCTGAGACGATAAACCTGCTCTGGGGCTTGAGAATAGTACAGTCCATTTCAGTATATCTGTCCACAGCAGAGTTCCAGTGGTGATAACCGCAGAGTGAAAAAGCCCAGCTATTAAATGTAGAAAGGCAAGTCGCTGACTGTGTCTAATGGCTGACCTTTTGGCTAAAAGGAAAGGTTCAATGCTCACAGCATAACACTTTCCCTCCTTGGCAAGATGTCTAGCAAACAAATGTAAAAGATCTATGTTTATAGTGCCAAACAAATTTGCCTATACTAGAAAGAATAACCACAGCAGAGTTTTAAGAAAGCAGGCACATGTAACAGAGTCATGGTTGTGACACATGTATTTATCACTTTGCTACTGAGTATCAAGCTCACACATACGAACCAAGTATATTGCATTAATATACCTATAGTTAGAAATATTAGGCTTACATTTTAGGAAGTGGATATTATGAGTTGAATGGATGGGGGGGTGTCTGCTGGCATAACTCAGAGCCATTTGCAGGTCTCGATACAAGGTGTAGTGTCAGCCAGTCTTATTGGGCATTCCAGTCTAAAAGAACAAGGTTGCCAATGACCAGCCTATACTTAATAGGATTTTTGTTAACACATTGGGCTAAAGTGCAGCTTCTCTTTTTTATTATTATTCTGTGGTATAATGACTCAGTCTCTCCATAATGACACATTTCACCTTGCTTCCCCGTTTTATGTTCTGTGTAAACCTAAGCTGTCAGTTACACAGCCACTTTCTTGTACATGAAGAAATTTAGTTGTTAGTGGTCTACAAGGCAAGTAGATAATCATGGCAGTGTTCTTTCAGGCTTGCAACATCCCAAGTGCTGCCTCTTAGCTATTCTACAAACAAAGTGGGGAAAGGGCTAGTCCAACTGGTTGAGCAACTTTTTGCCCCATTTTATAATGCTATATGCATCTATGTGGTGCTGCTTGCATCATCTTACCTATCCTCCGTGAAAGTTGAATGAGAGGTCTGTTTGTAGGATAAACAGTTGGCAGGGACAGATGTCCAGTTGAATCAGTTAATTCCTTTTTTTTTTCTTTTCTTTTTTTTGAATGAAGCTTAATACATAATGGGGAAAGGGTGCACACTTAGGCCCCACGGAAATCACTACCCAACTTGTTAATGACCAGTTCAGGAACTGTGAATGCTGCCGTAGACTGCCCTATCCATCTCCTGATTAACCTCTAAATAATTACTGCTTACTGAAGTATTGCCAATCTAGCTGGTGTGAAAATGCTGAACATGAATTAGTAAATGTACCTAAAACTCTGCATATTTCAGCATCTCATGATCTTTAGATAGTACAATACTTGTTAGCAAGTGAAATGCTGTCCAAGTGTCTTGAATGGTATAGAAGATGATCATGTTGGATACAGCCTTTAGATTGAAGCACTAAAGAGAAAAGAGGAACACTCTGAAAACCAAAGGACAGTTATCGAGCTACGTAAAAGTATTGCTCTTGGAGTATTATGCTATATAAGTTAGAAAAAGTAGTATATGTTTATTGGTGCTCGGGTTTTGAACTGCTGAGCTACCGACCTTCTGGTCTGCAGCTCAGTGTCTTAACCTCTGAGCTAAACTAATTAGGAGTGGCCAAAGGCAGTAGCTCTGCCCCATGCTGTGTGTCTCACAGCCACCAAGGCAGCTAGCATTTTAAAACATGTCTTAAAAACCATTAAAATGGAATGGGATGGAAATTGAATAAAATGAAACAAAATCAAGTTAAAATACACATACAGGACAATAAAATGCATATAGAAACAATTTAAACACATGAGAGGAAGGAGGCAGCACTGAAGGAATGCCACACAAAACAAGTCTTCACCTGCTAGTGGAAGACCGCAACAGAAGGGGACATGTGAGTCTGGGGTGACGGTTCCAAAGTTTCAGTGCTGTGACTGAGACAGCCCTCTCCCAGGTTGCAACCTGCCTAATCTCAGAAGGTGGGGTGGCCAAACCAAGGCTTTGGAAGATGACTATAGAGACCAGATAGGTTCATAAGGGAGTAGGTAGCCCTTCATATCTCCCCCTACCACACAGGGAACAGAGAGATGGTTTTGAAACATTTCACACACTGCTTTCAACACTTCATAACCCCTTGAACCTCCTGTTTTTTCCTATATCTGCACAAAGGTAAAAGGTAAAGGTTCCCTTGCTCGAAAGCCAGTCGAATCCGACTCTAGGGTTGCGGTGCTCATCTCCGTTTCAAAGCCGAAGAGCCAGCGCTGTCCGAAGACGTTTCCGTGGTCATGTGGCCGGCATGACTAAACACCAAGGTGCACGGAACGCTGTTACCTTCCCACCGAAGTGGTACCTATTTATCTACTTGCAATTTCTTGCTTTCGAACTGCTAGGTTGGCAGGAGCTGGAACTAGAGACAGGAGCTCACCCTGTCTTGCGGCACCCGGGTCTTGAACCACTGAACTACTGCACAAAAGGCCTGTCTAATTAGAACCCACTCATTGCACCTGAAGAAGTGGGCCCCAGTCCATGACGTTATGCTAGAATAATTATTGTCAGTCTTTAGGGAGCCACTAGACTCCTTATATATTTTTCCTGCCAGTAAAAAAAGGCTAAATATGTTTTATAGAAAGCATTACTTTTTTGGTGGTTAAGAATGAATGTAAATTGTTCCTCTGAGATTTCTGATCCTACACTTAAGAACTGCTGATAAACTATCACACTACTACAGTACTCAGCACCTTAATGGCCTGCATTGAGATTCACCTAATAGAATTTACCATTATGGAGCCATCTCTATATAACCCTCCCCCACTATTTCCTCTTTCCCTTCCCTGGCAACCCCCATAGTCTCTCCCTGTTCTTGCTTTCCTTCCTCCTTCCCACCCCCCAGCCAACGTACCTTTATCTGCTCCTGTGTGTTCAGCTTTCCCTTCTTTCTTAGCCCTGGCAGCTGCTCCCTGGGTAGCCTGGCCATTATACCCATTGGAAAATTTCCTGGTGGGTCAATGGCCTGGCCCGATTGAGATGTGCATGAATGTACCCAGCAGAGTTGGGCATGGCATGCCAATGGATGTACCCAGGCCTGGCAGAGACACAAGAAGTGCAGAGCTGGCTGGTTCTCCCACCTTCTCTCCCTCCTTTGTGAGGGTAGGCACAGAAAAGGAGCCCTTGGTTCAGGGCCATTTTTTCCTCCCAGTCTGCCCTTGTGATTGGCACTATAAACCAAGCTCAGGGCCAAGCCCTGTTTATGATGGTCTCCAGCCCTGGGCTGGTCCCAGTTGCAAATGGGTCACCTTTGCTGGGCTGGGCCAGGCCAGACCCAGTAGTGTAGGGGACACTGCTAATACTGGGCTGGGTGTAGGGGTTTCGGCCACTGAGCTGCATCCAGTGGCACGGTGGCTGCTGCCACAGGACCTGTTTCTTTCTCTCCTTCCCAGCCACCAGCCAACCTACCTTTATCTGCTCCCATGATTTCCTCTTTACCTACACCTGATAGCCATTTCCTGGTGAAAGCCTAGCTGGGCTGTGCAGTGGCTAGCATTGTGCCAGTCCTGGCTGGGCTGCGTAGTGGACATAGTTGGGCCAGGCCAAGTTGCGTAGACAGTGAGTTTCCATTTATCAGTTTCGGGCATGTCCCTTGTGAGTTAGGACTAGAGATATGAAGACCCGAGGCAGGGGGAACTGGAAAAAAAACACAGGGAAAACTGTGTTTTTTAAATGGAAGAATTGGAAATGTCAGAGAATACTCAGAAAACGTCTAAGAAATATTTTCTTTCAGGATGAGTGAAATGCTTTTAAGAACAAGGTGGGCATGCTGTAGACATATACAGCTCTTAAATCCAAGATGCATTTCTGCAGTTAGAAGGATACCGAATCTTCATGAGGTGAGCATTCAGGGCTTTCATTGTTTCTCTACAGTTGTATGCAGAGGTCATTTCGGGGGGGATCGCGGGGGATCGCAGTTCCCCCAGGTGAAGTACGGGGGCGGGGCACATGATGAAGCCCCGCCTGCTGCTTCCGGCCGCCCCACATCCGGCCCTCATTCAGCCAGGAGGAGGCAGGAGAAGAGGGAGGGTAAGTTGCTTCCTCCCTGCCTCTTCCCACCCCTGCCTGCCTGGGGCCAGGGAGGGCCTTCGCGGGGCTTCCTTGCATTCCCGCCGGCCTTGCAGGTCCACCGCCGGGCCCCTCATGGGGCTCGGCAGTGGAGCTGCAAGGCCGGTGCCGGCGGCCGGGACCGTTGGGAGCGGGGTGTGTGGCCTTATGACACACTTCCGGTGATGTCAGGGGGTGTGGCTTATGCTAATGAGTTCCCCTAGCTCTTTTTCTACGAAATGACCCCTGGTTGTATGCCTTCTGCTGTCCTTTTGACCTGATGTGGATAACTTTTTCACCTCTCCTCCAAACCACCGGGACACATTTACCCACAGATTGGGTAAAAAGTAGCTTATTGCCCTACCTTGCAAGAGGGAGAAAAAAAGATCAGAAGGAAGCGGGCGGAAACTATCAAAACCTCAGAAGAAAACTGAAAGTTTTACTGAGAACTTAGC